CCAGTCATCTGTTGCTGAATTCAGGCACGATTAAATGTCATATACATAAAACTGATCGTGTCTAAAAAATCTTACGAAGTTTCAGAATTTACTAGTGTGTTCACTATTGGTTCAACCAAACTTTTAACGCATTCACCAAAATCTTATTATATAAAAGATGATGTCCGCGATGAGAGCATGACACATAAGCAAAATTATAACTTATCAGATCGCGAATCGTGGCTAATATTAAGCGATGATGATATGTGTTAACACTTAAAATTAATTAAGAAAATATAAAAATAAAAATAGAAAACATACAAAATAATTGCCAAGTAAGTAACCAAATAAGAAAAATTAAAAAAATTTTATAGTTCAAACTAAGTAGAAATAAAATAAAATAAAGAAAAATTTAAAAACAAGTAGAAAGAAAAAAAATTATAATAGTTCAAACTGATTATAAAAATAAGTTAATAAAGAAAATAAAGAGAGTATAAACCGTAAAAAATAAAGAGTAGAGAGAAACTAAAAATTTCAATTAAGAAAAATATAATGTGAATGATAAAAAAAAGATATTATATAAATTGAAAACAAAAAAATTGAAAAGACTATGGAAATCTCAATTTCAAAGTTTAAGATATGCACAATTTAAATATAAAAAATGATATAATATTAAGACCGATTGTTTGGCCCGATTATCCCGTTCGAGGATGATTGAATGTTTTTACGTATGCAATACAACTCCAAATTGGGTAACCAATGGATGAAATTTATTTTAACGAAATGATTTGTTGAAAAAAAAAATATGCACAACCATACCAAAAAAATAAAAAATTTATAAGTATATTTATTTTGCCAACATTGTTATAAAATATCACAAAGAAAATGAAAAATCTTCTACTTATGACGGTATTGGTATTTTTCAATGTTAAAAAAATTCTATAAAATGAAAATTTATACACGTAAAAATTAATAGTAATATATTTGCTATTAAAATCCAAGAGTTTTTTTAAGGTTTGACGAGTATAGATCTTTATGAGAAATAAACCAATGACATTAGTGGTATACATTTATCAATGATGGATATGTGATGCTTGATAAAAC